AAAGGGGAGTGGAGTTTGCAGCAGACAATTAGTTCCCTTCATTGGTTCGTGACTCTCCGAGACTCCTGGCCAAGTTTTGCAGATATCAACCTGGCAGCTCTCCAAGCCAGATGATGTCTGTGACTGTAAATCCTCCCTTGAAAGACTTTGCTAGATGTGAAGGAGCAGAATTCACAGGAAATTAATAAAAGGGGGTTTTGTCGGGACCAGGAGTTTGCTTCATGCACTGAAAAAAGTGTTTGACGGCCATTTCCATCCCCATGATTGCATGATCTAAATGCAGACATTTGGCAACTGGTTCATACTTATGACCGTTGCTGTATCTCGAAGCCAGATTCGCTTCGCAACCCCATTGCTGATGTAACAACTGCAGTGATTCGTTCCGCAGCTGGGGCAAGAAATTGTCGTAAAAGGGAGCAAAACTCACTTAGCAACAGAAATGTTGGGATCAATCATGGTCATAACTCGAGGACGATGTGTGTTAGGACTGCCTCTGAAGGGTAATCAGTTTGGCGAAAGGCCCTCAAAGTCTACAAGCAATGTTGTGTTTGTGCGTGTTTTTAAAGTCTGCGTATTCTCCGTTGCAGCAGCAGACTACGGAAATTTCTTGCATCTGATCATTGTGCTGCCCATTGCAGTCCTGCTGATCATCGGTGGGCTCCTCATCATGCTTTACGTCTGCAACAAGAAGAGGTGAGACTGGCAGAGGGGTGGGTGGATCGGGCCCTGTTGCAGTGCAAGCTTTATTACCATCCAAAAGGACCCAGTTGGATCTCCTTTTAACCTGACCTCGATTCGGTGCCTTCGATCACAGAGAGAAGGGATTCTTATGAAACACTTTATGGTTATATAATCTCTCTCTCTCTCTCTCAATGTCTCTCCAAGCAAATCTCAGGGAATGGAATAAATAATTCTGACAAACATTCCAGGCAATATTAAGTATTCCAAAAGTACCAGCAGCATCTTCCTGTCCTTCCTCCCCCTCATTTTAAGCATCTTGCACACTTCTTTGCAATAGCACTTATACACTGCTTCAAAATGCTTTACAGCCTCTCTAAGCAATTTACAGAGTCAGCCTCTTGCTCCCAACAATCTGGGTTCTCATTTTACCCACCTCGGAAGGATGGAAGGCTGAGTCAACCTTGAGCCTGGTGAGATTTGAACTGCCGAACTGCATCTAGCAGTCAGCTGAAGTAGCCCGCAGTACTGCCCTCTAACCACTTCGCCACCTCAGCTCATCCAAGCTTTCTTTGTTTCGTTACTTGGCATAATAAAAACGAACAAAGGCGGGTCTCAGGGTATCTTGAATCAGGTCTAAGCACAGTCAACTCGCTGTGGCCATCTTGCTTCGGCCAACTGTCCATGGCCAACTCGCTGCAGGACAAGAATTACAATAATATCGAGGAAATGATGGAATAGAATCATTCAAGAAAGGATGCAAAAAGAGGGACAGAATGAAATGTGAACGACAAAAATTAAAATATTTTTTAAAATTATTTTAAACAATTAAATTGAATTCTTGGATTGTCCCTCAGTGAGTTGTCCTGGGGTGAGTTGTCTCATGGCGAATTCGCTGTGGAAAGTTGTCCCCTCCTGATTTTGTATCATCCTTCCTTCACTGAGATGGAATACAATTTTCCGAAAAGTTGTCACTTTCTCCCGAGAGTTTTCGTCATCTGACATCAGCACTGTCAGTTTTTCCTACTATGAGTCGAAGATTTCTTTCAAAGCTTATGCAGTGGGATAGGTGTATGGGGAATAGTTAGAGGTAGACTTCAACTTACGACTGATCGCTTAGCGACCGTTTGAAGTTATGACAGGCCCCCAAAAGGGTACTTACAACCCAGATTCAAACTTGTGATTGCAGAGGCCTGTGTGAAAAGCTGCGCTTATGCCACTCCAGATATCAATTTTAGAAAATAAATATCACCTGAAAATGCAAATTTAAGGGATTTACCATTGCAAAAGACTTAGGAAGTAACACATCGGATTCCTCACACCTCCATATAGCAGGCTACAAGTAGTTAGTGGGTTGTGTGGGGTGTGGGCGTTTTTAACAGCAAGTCCCAGAACAGAACCTCCAGGTGAGAGGCCCCAAACAGTGTGAAGATTGTGTCCTTTTTTGGGGAGAGGTGGGTATCAACGTGAAGAAGTAACTGCTTATATTTTAACAGGAACAGCGATAGGCTTGGAAACGGAGTGCTTTATGCTTCTGTGAATCCTGAATATTTCAGCGCTTCAGATGGTGAGTTGGCTTTTGACGCTTTTCAGAAGCAAAGTCTTGGAAGTGGGTGAATGGAGTTTGGGAGAAGAGAAGGGAGGCATTCCCTCCCCTTGTTGAACAGAGGCAGTTGTTCAAGATGACAAAATCATCTCCTCCTTCTCTCTGCACCCTGCACTCCTTTCTAGCACTGATAATGTTACCTAGTTGGGTCATGAAACATTGCAAGTAAACTACCAAGCTCAGAGAGCATCAAGAACCTCACAATCCTCCTCCTCCTCCTTCCCTTCTCCTCTTCCTCCTCCTCTCCATCTTCCCTTCTTCTCTTTTTCCTTCTCCTCCTCCTCTGCCCTCCTCCTCATCTTCCTCTTCCATTTCTTTTTCATCCTCCCTGCTCCCTTTAGAATGACCCAAGTCACTGCTTCAAAGCTCACTGCTTTTGGCTAACAAATGAAATAGCTGCCATTCAGTTCTCAGGGTTTAAAGTTACCTTACTAATTTTAAGACAGATGGACCTCAACTCCCAGAATTCTTTAATCGGCATGCTGTTTAGGGAACTCTGGGAGTGGAAATCTACACGTCATCTTAAAAGTTGCCAAGATTTAGAAACACTGAGAATGGAGAATAAAAAAGGATGCATAAAAAGTTCTCCTGATTTTTTAAAAAATGAAGGAGGAGGAGGAGAAGCAGCAGCTCCCTTCCCCTCTTTCTGTCATGCATTTCAGAAATTGGCTTTTTGTAGATTCTGTCACCCAGGCTGGGGATTTTCAGCTTACTACTTTCAATTTAATCTTGAGAGGGTCATTTCATCTTTAACATCAGAAAGAAGAAGGAGGAGAAGCAAAAAATGAACACTTAAAATCTTAGTTTTTAAAATTTTAGTTTTTATTCTCGTAGTCGAAAGGTTGGCTGTTGTGGCTCATTTAAAAAGTCATCTCAGGGTTCAGGAGAAAACAAATGGCTGAAACATGCTGATGAATGTAATCGGAGATATTTTTATTTTACCTGACCGTTTGTTTGTTCCCAACGGATTTTTAACCACGTTGCATTATTTCACGTTCAAGAAGGACAATTCAGGTACTAATTGGAGTATTCTCATCCTTTCTGAAGATGTTTTGAGGTGGTGCTGTGGGGCCAAATGTTAAATTGTCTGGTAGATGGGATCCTGAAAAATTTGGCCTCTTACGATTGCCCTCATTATCTCTGAATTTTCCTCTGGATCATCTGGAGCTAGGTTGAAATCCTCCCAGTTCAGCCTGGTTCGGTAGGGATGATTGTCTTTGGTTCTGCGAACCGATAGTTAAAAAAAAAAAAAGCTTCTGAAGATCGTGCGGCTCAGCTGAGAGCTGCACGATCGTCGGAAGCTTTTTAAAAAGCTTTTTAAAGGATTTTTTTCCTTTAAAAGTGGGGGAAATGCTTTAAAAAGCTTTAAAAAAAGCTGAAACTGAAAAAAAAGTTTGCCGCATCAGTCCTAGAGGAGATCCACCCTGACTGCTCTTTAGAAAGCCAGATCCTGAAGATTAGATTTCACCACTGATCTGGAGTTGTAAATTGTTATGCTATTTTCCTAGATTCACTGATTGTAATTGGAAACTTTAGCCATAAAATTATACACTACAGGTTCAGGTTAGGTGTAGGCTTAACATGTTGTGTGAACACAGTTGTTGTGGGTTCCTTTGCTAAGCTGTGACTAAAGAAACGCAGTTCAGTGTAACGTGTCAGCGCCGTCCCTTTATATTCTTGGATTTCATCCATTCCTAACCTTACAACTTAGGGGCAGGGTTACAACAGGATGGAGCCACACAATGGTTTCAAAGCATGTTATGTTTGAACGTAAACATTGGGAGAGTGTAAATTTGAAGAATGTAAAACATTGGCCTTTTATAGTGATACTGTTCCAGGAAAAGGAAACTCCCTTGTCACTGTCAGCTTGTACTGGAGCTTTCATACCAGAATACAATAACAGAGTTGGAAGGGACCTTAGAGATCTTCTAGTCCAACCCTCTGCTCGAGCAGGAGACATCTTTTTTGTATTGTGGCAACCAAAAGTGGAGTGTGATCTTACCAATAAAGTATAAAATGATGCTGTAGCTTTACATGACCATGATTCTATCCCTCTGTTTATGCAGCCTAGGACTGTGTTGGCTTTTTTGGGCAGCTACAGCACACTGCTGGCTCGTACTTAAGTGGTTGTCCACTAGGACTAGTAGAGTCCTGTCACAATTACTACTGTTGAGTCAGGTGTCATCTATTCTATACCTGTGCTTTTGGTTCCTACCTAAGCGTAAGACCATATGATCCTATGTGGAATTGGCTAAAAGGGAAAAACTTTGGGTTCTTAATCAGAAACTAAGAATGGCCACGGCGTACAAAGAAAATCTGTATAAGATGTTCTACAGGTGGCATCTTCCCCCAGCACGGCTCTCCAAAATGTTTGTTGGCTGGGGAATTTTGGGAGTTGAAGTCCACAAGTCTTAAAGTGGCTAACTTTGGACACCCCTGCACCACGGTGATTTTCGCAAACTACTTTTGTGTTGTTGTTTTTTGCAGTGTACGTGCCAGATGAGTGGGAAGTGCCCAGAGAAAAGATTACGATGTGCCGGGAACTTGGACAAGGCTCCTTCGGCATGGTCTACGAGGGAGTAGCCAAAGGGGTTGTGAAAGACGAGCCAGAAACCAGGGTGGCCATCAAGACCGTCAACGAATCGGCAAGCATGAGGGAGCGGATCGAGTTTCTAAACGAAGCTTCGGTGATGAAGGAGTTCAACTGCCACCACGTTGTAAGTGACTGAACTTTGCCAAGCTGTGTTGATGTGTGACTTCTTTCCCCCATCCCAGACGTGTTGCTGTTGTAAGTTGCAAAGTCATGTCTAACCTGTCACAACTCCATGGACAACATTCCTCCAGGCCTTCCTGTCCTCTACCAGCCACTGGAGTCCATTTAAGCTCATGCCTACTGCTTCAGTGACTCCATCCAGCCACCTCATTCTCTGTCGCCCCCTTCTTCTTTTGCCCTCCATCTTTCCCAGCATTCCTGGCTCTTCTCCAGGGAGTCCTTCCTTCTCATTAGGTGGCCAAAGTACTTGAGTTTCCTCTTCAGGATCTGGCCTTCTAAAGAGCAGCCAGGGTGGATCTCCTCTAGGACTGACCGGTTGGATGGCCTTGCAGTCCAAGGGATTCGCAGGAGTCTTCTCTAGTACCAGAGTTCAAAGCCCTCAATTCTTTGGCTCTCAGCCTTCCTTGTGGTCCAACTTTCACAGCCATCCATTGCAACTGGGAAAACCAGAGCCTTCACTACACACACTTTTGTTGGCAGGGTGGATGTCTCCACTTTTTAATAGGCTGTCTACATTTGCTATAGCTTTTCTCCCCCAGAGCAAGCAATTCCAGACTTACATGTACATTAATGGTAGTCCTCGCTTACGTACCATCTTTTCAGTGAACGCTTGAAGTCACAGCAGCGCTGAACTTGTGGTACTTACAACCAGTCCTCAAAGTCCCAGCTGTCTCAGCGTCCACGAAGTCACGTGATTGTCATCTGGACATTGGACTTTATGACTACTTCACTTAGCAACAGAAATTCCAATCCCGGTTACAGAAAGTCCTCAACTTACAACAGTTCGTTCCGTGACCGTTCGAAGTTGGAAAATGTGACTTATGACCATAAGTCATAACATGACATTGAAAATATGTGACATGACCATTTCTCACACTTACGGCTATTGTAGCATCCCCATGATCAAAATTCAGATGCTTAGCAACTGACTCCTATTTATGTCCCGGAGTCACATGATCTCAATTTGGGACAAGCAAAGTCAGTCGGGATGCCAGATTCACTTAATGGTGTTACTGACTTAACAACAGTAGTTAACAATTGAGTGATTCACTTGACAACTGTGGCAAAAAAGGTTGTAAAATAGGACAAAATTCACTTAGCAACTATCCTGCTTTGCAACAGCAATTTTGGGCTCAATTGCGGTCGTAAGCTGAGGACTACCTGTACCATTGTTCACCAAGGACTTTCTGAACTAGAATGCTGGAATATCTAATTTAGAATAGAAAATTCAGAACATGTTGCTTGCTTCTATTACGCTTTAATACATAAACACATGACCTTCCTCAGCCAGGTTTAAATTCCATCTCTTCTTTTTCCCACTTTTGGATTTCCCAATGAAATCAATGCTCTTTGCATCTTATATTTAAAAGGCATTGCAACATGATAAAATCAAGGATGAGTTAAAAATACACGAATAAAATTTATTGCTAGAAATGCTAAAGTTGGAATCTATCAGTAAGAGGAAAAAAATTAATTTCTTGATGGAAAGGGGGGAGGGAAGAGTTTTGAAGTTGTGCTGTAGGTACCTTCATTCCATACCATAAAGGTAAAGATTCCCCTCGCATATATGTGCTAGTCGTTCCCAACTCTAGGGGGCGGTGCTCCTCTCCGTTTCAAAGCCGAAGAGCCAGCGCAGTCCAAAGACGTCTCTGTGGTCATGTGGCCGGCATGACTCAATGCCGAAAGCGCACGGAACGCTATTATTTTCGCACCAAAGTTGGTTCCTATTTTTCTACTTGCATTTTTTGCGTGCTTTCGAACTGCTAAGTTGGCAGAAGCTGGGACAAGTAACGGGAGCTCACTCTATTACGCGGTGCTAGGGTTTCGAACTGCCAAACTGCCCACTTTTCTGATTGACAAGCTTGGGCAACCTGGTCTACCCAAATATGGGACGGAGCATACTGCTTCTTCTTTCGCCTTTCAGTTCCAATCCAGGAGCCTTCTCAGGCAATCGCATTCGTGACAAACTATTTTTTTTGTCGACTTTATGTTTTACCAACAAACAAATAAAGGGAGAGTAGTATAGATCTATTTCAAGCTATTTAGTTCTCAGCAGCTAGCCATATCCTTCTGGGATTCGAACCCCAGGCTAGCTGATGAGAGCTAAATAGCTTGAAATAGATCTATACTATTCTCCCTTTATTTGTTTGTCAGTAAAACATAAATTCAACACAATGTTATACAAGATTTCTGTTCTGGTTCAAATAGAGTATGGATGCTGCCTTTATAACCACCTTTCCAACATGATTTCTTCTGCTCACCATTTGTCCCAATGATACACAGAAACACACACACACACACACACACACACACACACACACATCAAGTTCCTATGCCCATAATCATGTCAGGCATGCAGAATCAGGTTCACACATTAAGTACAATTTTAAGTTGATTTATTGCTCATGCCTACACATAATGATCTTGTCAATCAATGGTCAGGATTAAAAAGGTGCTAGATAACTCACTGGAGAAGAGCCTCATGCTGGGAACGACGGAGGGCAAAAAAAGAAGGGGATGACAGAAAATGAGGTGGCTGGATGGAGTCACCAAAGCAGAAGGTGTGAGCTTTAATGGACACCAGAGGATGATAGAGGACAGGAAGGCCTGGAAGAACGTTGTCCATGGGGTTGCGATGGGTCGGACATGACTTCGCAACTAACAACAACAAGAGTTAACAGAATTCAAGAAGGATTGGACTTAGAACACTTGTGGGAACGTATTGATTCTAGGCTGATTCCTCTCTTGACTCCACCACCAGGCTCTGCCTGTCCTCCTACAAAGCATCTAATTTGCTTATTCCTTTTGACAGGTTCGGCTCCTTGGCGTTGTCTCTCAAGGTCAGCCCACTTTAGTCATCATGGAACTCATGACCCGTGGAGATCTGAAGAGCTACTTGCGGTCTCTCCGCCCAGACACGGAAGTATGTTTGTGTTAGGGGTGGGTGGGAAATGCATGTGCTTTGTGAAAGGAAGATAGCTTCCCCAGTAAAATGGGGTGTATGACAACGACACCCCTTCGAATTGGACTAGAAGACCTTCAATATCCCTTCCGGCTCTGTAATTCTGTTACTCTGAATTCTTAGGCAGATGTTTTCCGTGTTGCTATAGCTAGATCCGTCCTATTCTGCTAGCCAAAGGTCAGTAACCCACAACTCTAGAGCCGCATGTGGTTCTTTCATCCCTCTTCTGCGGCTCCTTGTCGCTGGTCGGCTCCACAATTGATAGGGCTTTCAGTTAGGACAGGTAGAGGAAAAAGGATGCTGCGCTAGGAGGAGACTCTGTAGTGGGGGAACCGGACTTCCGGTCGGCTCCAGAATTGAATGGGGGCCTTCCGGTTAGGACCTTTGTGGCTCTTGGAGTGCTTAAGGTTGCCGACCCCTCTGCTAGCCCGTGGCTTCCATAAACTTGGTTTAAGGAAGCCACCCCTTTTTCCTTAACTAGTTATGTCGAGATAGGAACATACCTATTCTACAATAGGTATGTTCCATTTTTGTGAGCAGGTAGGCAAAGATGAAAAAGAAAAAGAGCTGCCATATTTTTTGGAGAATAAAACACACCTTTTTCCCTCAAAAAAGAGGGTGAAAATCTGGGTGCATCTTATATACTGAATACAGCATTTTTGGCCTCCTGAAACCCCGCCCCCTTTGCAAAAATGGACGTGCATAGCCTTTAGGAGGCTTCCAGAGTGCTCCTGGGGGCTGGGGAGGGTAGAAATGAGCAAAAAATGGGCTGTTTTTTGCTCGTCGCCCACCCTTCCAGGAACACTCTATAAGCCTTCTAAAGGCTATGCATGGCCTTTTTTTTAATGAAAAATGGGCCCGTTTTTGGGAGGTCTGCGGAGTGCAAAAACTTTTTTTAAAAAATTTGCCTCTTCAAAATCTTGTCTCATACTCCAAAAAACACAGTACTTGTTGTACAGCAGTGCTCAACATTTGAACAGCAAGAAGCATTCCCTTCATTTACAGCGATGCTTCTGTTCTTATTTTTTTATAAATAAAACGGCAATCCTCTAGCCATTTTGCCCACCTAATTGTAAATAGCTGCACACGCCTTCTTTTGTCCCCACTGCTTACTCAGCTGGCTGCTGGGCCTCCGTCTGCAATGTTTTGCCCCTTACTCTTGACTCTGAATAAGCCAGGGTGGCTGTTCAGTGTAAAACAGGCCTGCTAATTGCTCGTGACTCTCCATACGGCAGCCACCGTTCCCTTTCGCTCTTGCCTTGAATTATGAATGAGTTTTTGCAACAAACACTAATATTTAGTCATGCGGTTGACATTTAATATTCATGCTGGCAGCAGAAAATCAGTAGCCACCCTTGTGTGTGTTGTCACAAGTTCCAAGTTAGGCAGGAGAAAGCGTGGTGGGGGGAATCCTCAAGAACCAAATAAAAGTTAAATTAGGGCTGGCAGTTCTCATTGAGTATCTTCCCTTCTTCCCTTGCCACCTTTGTAGATGGTTTCTGTTGTAAATAATTCATGTAGAGATAGTAGAAGCATCTGGTGTGTTTGTGAAGATGAAAGTGTGACTGTAAACCAAGCAGCATTCCTTGAGCTGAGATACAGAAATCTTTTGGCTTCTAAAAACATGATTGTAGAAGCAACTTTGGGGGCTGAGTGGAGACAGAGTGGATGATGTGTGATCTTTTATGTTTCTTTCCTTTCTTTCCCATTGTAATTTTGTTGCCCTTCTTCTCTTTCATCGGATGTGAGAGAACATGGAGCTGTTGTTGGATGTGGGAGAACATGCAGCTGTTGTTGGATGTGAAAGAACATGGAGCTCTTGTTGGATGTGGGAGAACATGGAGCTCTTCTTGGATGTGGGAGAACATGGAGCTGTTGTTGGATGTGAGAGAACATGGAGCTCTTGTTGGATGTGGGAGAACATGGAGCGCTTGTTGGATGTGAGAGAACATGGAGTGCTTGTTGGATGTGGGAGAACATGGAGTGCTTGTTGGATGTGGGAGAACATGGAGCTCTTCTTGGATGTGAGAGAACATGGACCTGTTGTTGGATGTGGGAGAACATGGAGCTGTTGTTGGATGTGAGAGAACATTGAGCTCTTGTTGGATGTGGGAGAACATGGAGCTGTTGTTGGATGTGAGAGAACGTGGAGCTGTTATTGAATGTGAGAGAACGTGCAGCTCTTGTTGAATGGATGTGAGAGGACATGGACCTTTTGGCACACACTTCAAGACAATGCAATTAGTTCCGTTGGGCAGCAATGAAAGGAATGTCCAGTCATGACATTGAAAAATGAGCCAAATCTTGAGGTTGGAATAAGGAAAGAAAGCTGAACTTTCTTTATTGACTTGGTGGTGATCTCCATTTCTTTCTTAGAACAACCCTGTTCAGAATCCTCCACCTTTAAAGAAGATGATTCAGATGGCTGGAGAGATTGCAGATGGCATGGCTTATCTCAACGCCAACAAGTTTGTTCACAGAGATCTAGCTGCCAGGAACTGCATGGTGGCAGAGGACTTCACTGTGAAGATCGGAGGTAGGGCTTCATTACTACTTTAAAAAGGAACCATTTAGTATTGTAGGTACAACAGGCTGAAAATCTACAAGCAAGACTTGGTGACACCAAGAAATGGATAGGGCAAAAAGTTTAGGGCGTGTGTGTGTAAAATCTTGAGTTCTTGATAGGCTTCATGTTCATTGGACAATCATTGGTCTGAAATGGTATAGGGTTTCCTACCTAAGCAGGGGGTTGGACTAGAAAACCTCCAAGGTCCCTCCATTAGTTTCTAATCTGTTCCAATCAAAACACTGGGGTGTAGCCACCAATTTTTAAGTGTTTTTGGAACTCATTTTGCAGCCCGTATATAGAGGTGGATGGACATAACCTTGAAAAGGAGAATGCACTTAGAGTGAGAGACTTATCTCCATATTACATGGGCCAAGAGAGCAAGTTAAAGGGACATTATAGTATTGTAGTAGCTCAGGGGAGGACGAAAGTAGATTTCTAATAGACTTTTAAGAAGCCTGTTTTGTCCCCTGGCCTACCTTGAATATTGACACCACAGAAGACCAAGAGGCATTCTTGACACTTGATTTTGCAAACAAAGATCAGAATATATCTTCCCCAGCAACTACCTCCCAGATAAGCAGGGATTAACACCAGACAAACAATCAAGCAGAAAACAATAGCCAAATCAAGGAACAATCAAAGAGAAAAATCACATTCCCACCAACCCTGATGGGCCAGACTACTGAACATAAACAGGAAGCAAACCCTACCCTTCCTCATACTGATAACGTTACCTAGTCAGGTCATAAAAAGTCTGCAAGCTAGCAACCAGGCTCCGAAAACACTGAGGGACTTCATTTGGTTTTGTAGCCTGGCGTGCTTTTTTTTTTTAAAGAAAAATCTTTAAAATAATAAATAAGCGAAGGTAAAATTGATAGGAAACGTAGTGGCCATCTCATTTCCTTCTCAGTCTAATATGATTACAGATAAAATATATAAACCAGGGGTGCTATAAAACAGAAATAAAAGTTTGAGCTAATAAGAGCTAACACAGCCGGCTAAACTTGGGTTTGCTGTTATTTTGACTTCTGCTTGAACTGCAATTTGCTGAGCACACACGTGTCTCTTGTGTTGCTGTGTAGATTTTGGCATGACGAGGGATATCTACGAGACTGATTACTACCGGAAAGGTGGAAAGGGACTTTTGCCGGTCCGCTGGATGTCCCCAGAATCGCTGAAGGACGGCGTGTTCACCACCCACTCGGATGTCTGGTAATGAAGAAAACTATTTACAAAAGCATTCTTCGGTTGCTCTATGCCGATCCCTGAAACTTGGTTGTTTCAATCAGGGTTCTCCAAACTTGACAACTTTTAGACTTATGGGCTTCAACTCCCAGAATTCCCCAGCCAGCCATGCTGGCTGGGGAATTCTGGGAGTTGAAGTCCACAAATCTTAAAGTTACCAAGTTTGGAAATATCTGGTTTAGTTAGCTGTGGCTTTGAAGATACTCTGCTGTAAAAACTGTACACATCTCAGGAGTGTGTGTGAGTGTGTGTGTGTTCCTACTTCCTCAGGAAAGCTTTTGCCATGCTTATACCCTCCCAGAAGTTCCAATTGTTTGGTTTTAAAACTGGCCCATTTCTCTGATTAGGCAGGGCTTCTTCCTCTGGTCCCTTTATAGTAGATGTAACAGGAAGAACCAGATACAAGAAATGATGGGTTTCTACCTGTTCGGACCAGTTCGGTCAAATTGGTAATGGTTTGGCGGCCTGGAACCAGCGGTGACCAGGCCTGTCACGCCCCAAAATTGGTTCCCCGGTCTCTTCTCCCATCGCCAGCATGCTTCTGCACATGCGCAGAACAGTTCTCAGTAAACTGCGCATGCACAGCAATGCGCATACAAAATGCCCTCTCTCAGCGAACCGGTAGTAAACTGGTTAGGAACACACCACTGGATACAAGTACTCCTCAACTTAAAACCACAACTGAGCCCAAAGTGTCGGTTGTTAAGGGAGTTTTGCCCCATTTTATGACCTTTCTTGCCACCGTTATTAAGTGAATCACTGCAGTTGTTAAGTTAGCAACACCCCCATTGACTTTGCTTGTCAGAAAAGGGGTATGACGCGACCCCAGAGATGCCACCACCATCATAACTATGGGTCAATGACCAAGTGTTTGAATTTTGATCTTGTGACCCCGGGACCCTGAAACAGTCATAAGTACATGCCAGTTGCCAAGTGTCTGAACTTTGATTAGGTGACCATGGGGATGCTGCAATGGTCTTAAACATGGGAAACGGCCATAAGTCAGTTTTTCCAGTCCTGTCGTAACGTCGAACAGTCGCTAAATTTGTAAGTCGAGGGCGACCTGTGCTGGGATCCACTTGAGAGTGAATTCCTCTATATGATAGCTTCCAGGTTATAAGAGTTAAAAACTGGGGTTATTGTTTTTCTGTGCTATTTTCCCACAGCCCCAGTGAAGCTGGTTAGATCTCCAGGTTTGGCAGGGATGGCCGTTACATATACCATATTTTTTGGTATATAAGACGTTCCGAAGTATAAGACGCACCTAGCTTTTGGAGAGGAAAACCAGGGAGGGAAATCTCAGCAATTTGCCTCCTTGCCACAAACAGCAAACAGCACAGACAATATACACTGTTTGTAGTGTTGCATTTCAGACTGTACTTGTACAGATGCTGTTAAAATTGATGTGGCTTTCTGGAAGTATATGTTATTCTCTGCTATTTAAAAGAAGATACAATAGCACTGGGCCTCTTCAGATCAAGCATTTATTTTAAAGCTTCTTCATTTTGTTAAGCTGCCTAGAACAATAATAAAGCAGTCTTTAAAAAACAAGTCTAATAATTTAAACATTCTATAGGCATTTATAGTTATTGACTTACCTCCTTGCAGCAAACAGCCTGATTAGCACAAGAAAAAAATAAATTGTTTCCGCCTCCCAGCAATTTGCCTCCTGCTGCAAACAGCAAGTTTCACTTTCAGTTTAAGCGCCTCCCGATCATCAGCTGTTTCAGGCTGCCGCAAGCCCCATTTTCCCGTAAGCTGCAAGGAGATAAATTACTGGGAGGCAGAGGCCAAAGGGTGAGGGGACAGTGGGTGGGTGGAGCTACATTCAGTGTATAAGATGCACCCAAATTTTCACCCTCTTTTAGGGGGGGGAAAGGTGCAACTTATACTCCGAAAAATACGGTAGATTTGTATATTTTGGGAAACCCGCTGCAGAATTTGGCTGGGGAAAGCGTTGCAGTCTAGCTTTCTGAAAAAGCTAACTTAAAAATAATAAAAATAAACACGACAGAAGAAAGGTGGAGGGTGGGAGCTCGTGTGGATCCAGATCCCAGAGTAAATGACATTCTAGTTACTATCAGGAGTTCCCTAGTAAATTCCAACATTTCAGAACGATCAGAAAGATCCGCAGTTCGGCGGTTCGAATCCCTAGCGCCGCATAACGGAGTGAGCTCCCATTACTTGTCTCAGCTTCTGCCAACCTAGCAGTTTGAAAGCATGTAAAAATGCAAGTAGAAAAATAGGAACTACCTTTGGTGGAAGGTAACAGCGTTCCATTTAGTCATGCTGGCCACATGACCACAGAGGCATCTTCGGACATCGCTGGCTCTTCGGCTTTGAAACGGAGATGAGCACCGTCCCCTAGAGCCAGGAACGAGTAGCACATCTGTGCGAGGGGAACCTTTACCTTCACCTTTATACATTAGTCCATTTAAGATGCCTTAGTTTAAAAACGGTTGCCCTATGATGCCGTTTTATGCAGTTAATGGTCATGACAACAAGCATTTTAATAGTATACAGATCCAGAATGCGTTCCATTACCAAAGTAAGCAAGTTAATGTTGCAGGGAACATCGGTATTTTAAACTTCTTTTTTCATGTGATCCAATATAATAAAAAAATAGTGGGAGGGTAGGTTAATTATACAAGGGGAAAAGAAAGGGCAGTGGGCTTTCTCCTGGTGGATTTTGCATCAAATGTTGCTAACTTCCATGCAGTTGCCACTGAAGAGGCTGTGTTCAACTGATGCTTTGGGTAAGATGATTGAGGTCTCCATATCAAGTTTAGATGATCAATTCTTTTGAATTTGGGCCATTATTGCTGTCTTGTGCACTCTGCTTACTGATTTATATTATATCTGAGATTTTACTTCCAGTCTCTGATCAGGGATTCAATAAATAAAAATTTAAAAAAATCAGTGGAATATTCTTAATACATGTTTAAGTGTCCCATTCAAAGCCAAATTTGGGGGTTACATTGGTTGAGTTAAAATATTTACAATTGAGTCCGATTCAGCATGGCAGCCTCACAAAGGCAGGAGATAAAAGCTTCCAGTCTGTTTGCAACAAATCAATGTATTACTTCATCCAAAATGTATTTTGTACAATTGACTCCAAGTTAAATTTCACCTGATCAGGCCCTATGGGGTTTTTATTTTGGTGGAGCGCAAAAAAAAGAGCAGGGGTTATTATTATTATTGATTCAGATTATGCCTATCTTTTTAGGCAGTGTTACTCAGTAATTTAATGGTGGCTCAGTGGTTAAGACATTGAGCTTGTCGATCAGAAAGGTCAGCAGTTCTGCGGTTCGAATCCCTAGTGCTGTGTAACGGAGTGAGCTCCTGTTACTTGTCCCAGCTTCTGCCAACCTAGCAGTTCGAAAGCAGGTAAAAAATGCAAATAGAAAAATAGGAACCAGCTTTGATGGGAAGGTAACAGCGTTCCGTGCGCCTTCAGTGTTTAGTGATGCTGGCCACATGACCACGGTGACATCTACGGACAGCACTGGCTCTTCGGCTTTGAAATGGAGATGAGCACCGCCCCCTAGAGCCAGGAACGACTAGCACATATATGCAAGGGACAACCTTTACCTTTACTCAGTAATTTATACTCATAATTGCAGTATTATTCCCTAGTTGTGTTACAGGACACTGCATTTTTATAGCACATGCCTATTAACAAACTATGATGGTGCCACACTGTCAACATAACCATAACATATGCAGATGACAGCTATTGTGACACAGATCCACAGGTTTGTGGGATGTTGTCATTGCAGGAATTGTGTGCCTGTTGTAGTGCCTCTCACCAGTACCCAGGTGTTTCTGTAAGTTTTTATCGGTATAAGACCATGTCCACATCAGAAGGTTAAATTAAGCTAATTTATTGCTAAATGCCTACGCATGGGAATCTTCTCAACTAACAGTCAGCACCCGGTTAGAGTAAGATAAAGAGCAACAGCACGCAAAGGAGGCTGGACTTAGTTTGCTTGCGGCGATGTAGGGATGCTAGGCTGATGCCTCTTTTCACTCCTCCCCCAGGTTCAGCCATTCCTTCTCCTGCAACTCTACGTGTTTTACATCTTCAGTTCCTCTAGTTCTTTGCCTAGGGTGACACTAACGTTTCTTAACCTTTTCCTTGTAGGTCTTTCGGTGTTGTTTTGTGGGAAATTGCCACCTTAGCAGAACAGCCTTACCAAGGCATGTCCAATGAACAAGTTCTACGTTTTGTGATGGAGGGAGGCCTCCTGGAAAAGCCGGACAACTGCCCAGACATGCTGTACGTACATCCAGACCTTCTCTGTCTTTGCCTGCCTTGTCCTCTTCCCCTGACTGCTGTGGGATCGTACCGCCACCCACTCGTGCCAGCAGAGGAGGCATGCTGTGGATCCCGTCAGCCCGATTCTTCCGACTGGCAGGATCCACGAAGAGGACCTTCTCTGCTGTTGCTCCTGCCCTCTGATGTGAGGTTGGCCCAAACCCCCCTATCCTTTCGTAAGGGCCTTAGAGATGTTAATTCTCCAGTAGGGGGACAGCGCAGCGGAGGGAGTTGATAGAGTAACAACAGATCTGACCTCCCCCCACTCTGACCCTGCCCTCATCACATGTCCTTAGATTTTAATGTTTGGTTTTAATTTATTTATGTTTTGTATATCATATATATATATATATAGATAGATAGATAGATAGATAGATAGATAGATAGATAGATAGATAGATAGATA